CCCCAGACCAGCACTGCCCACACTCCTTGCCTCCAGGTGCCTCAGCCTCCCGGTGGTCAGGACTGGTCCTGCAGACCCTGCTCCTGGGGCCCCTGGCTACTCAGGCAGCCAGGGGAGGACCGGGTGGGCAGCAGGAGCCCTGCTCACTATGTGTCTCCCTCTGCAGGCGCACAGCTAATGCTGACAGCCGGCCCTGCCCCTGCCGGCTTTCCCTGTGGATACACTGCTGCTCCCACCTTCACCCACACTCCTGTGTATGACTTCAGTGTGTAGTGGGCGCTGTCTCTCCATGGACCCTGTCACTCTTGGGCACAGAGGACCCCAATGGGAGGCAGGGACACCCGGACATTATTTATTTTTGCTGAAGCCCAATGATGGCAGCCTCTGAGTCATCCTGAAGCCTGGGGAGGCCAGGGTAGACCCCCCACTCCCCAGGGTAGACACTGACTGCCCAAGACTAGCTCGACTCCACCAGGGAGGTGGACCTCTGCCTCTCGGCCCTCTGGCTGGAGCCAGGCGTCACCAGGGAGGTTCTTCTCAAGGATTCCCTGTCGCTTGGGGGGAAGGGCACCCTCCTTTCACCCCACGCTGGCTAGAAGTGCTTCCTCCAGGCCACTTCGGAGACACAACATAATGCGTCTTGTATGGAGGTGCCAGAGTTCCTAACACGGCTCTGAGCCTCCTGCCGATCATGAATATTAAAGTCGGTTTATCCAGGCGAAGTTTCTCTCCTTGGTGCTGGTGTGGGTAGGAGGGACAAGGGCCAATTTCATAGCCCTGCAGCCTGCTAAAGATTCCCTGGGACCTCTTTGCAGGTGGGGACCCGTGTCTGCCCAGGGAAGCTGCCTGGGAGAATACTACGGTTTGTATTTGGAGTCTTTTCCCGAGCTCTAAATCCAGGAGAGGGGCAGGGGTGGGACTGCACAGTCCCGCGGAGTGTCCGAACACCAAACCCTGGGACCGAGGGGACAGGGCTGGCCGCACGTGTCTAAAGGCTGATCTGCCCGTCTCGCCTCCGGAGTCTCCAACGTCCTGCCTTTCTCTGCAGACGCGCAGAGTGCGAGGCCCACTCCTTCCCGCGTGGGTGTCCGCCGCAGGCCTGGGCGCGCTACAAGTCTCTGCTCCTTGACCCGCAGCTCCCGACCGGGACGCAGCTCCGCCCCCCGCCCCGCCGGTCTCGGTTTTCCAGGGACTTCGCCTCGGCCATTGGCTGCGCCCCGGGCCCCGCCCTGGCGCCCGCCTCGGCGCGCCCCGCCCCAGCCTCAGTTTCCCAGCCGACACAGGGCGAGCTGGGGGCGGGGCCCGGCTCGGACCACGCGGGGCGGAGCCCGGGAGCCGAAGCGGTCGCCCCGCCCCGGGTACATAACCGGCAGCCTTGCACCGATCGCCCAGCGCTGCAGGCTCGGACCCGGAGTTCCCACTGGGCGCGCCGCCTCCCGCCCGCCATGGCCGCCTCCCGCCCGCCATGGCCGCGTCACGCGCCCCCCGCGTCCTAGCGGCCGCCGCGCCCGCGTCCGGGAAGGCCAAGCTGACGCACCCGGGGAAGGCGATCCTGGCAGGTGGGCCCCTGCGGGACGCGGACCTAGACCCTGCGGCCCCCGGCGCTTCCGGGTGGGCCCGGGTCGCCGAGGCCCCGCCCCACTTCCGGGTTGGGCTGGGGGCGTGGGGGTGGGGGTTGAGGCCCTGTCCTCCGTCTGGCGGGCAGGGGTCGCCCAGCTTTTCGCGCGGGGACAGCGGGGTGGGGGCGTGGGCCCGACGGGGCCGCCGGGCGAAGTCCGGGTGAGGGAGGGGCGGGTTGTGCGGCGGGGTCTAAGCGCCGGGTGCGGGTGCCCGCAGGCGGCCTGGCGGGCGGCATCGAGATCTTCATCACTTTCCCCACCGAGTACGTGAAGATGCAGCTGCAGCTGGACGAGCGCTCGCACCCGCCGCGGTACCGGGGCATCGGTGAGCGGGGCGGCCGCGGGGCTGCGGGCCGGGCGCGGGCGGCGGGTCCTGACCGCCCCTCCCCTAGGGGACTGCGTGCGGCAGACGGTCCGCAGCCACGAAGTCCCGGGCCTGTACCGCTGCCTCAGCTCCCTGCTCTACGGCTCCATCCCCAAGGCGGCCGTGAGGTGGGGCCTGCGGGGCGGCCGCGGGGGTCGGAGGGTCCCGGCGGAGGGGCAGCCCTTCTCACCCGCCTCCCGCCCCCAGGTTCGGAATGTTCGAGTTCCTCAGCAAC